GTTCTGAAAACGATTTTAAAAATGTTTTGAAAACATTTTCAAAAATGTTTTCCAAACATTGCAGGACAATGTTTTTGAAAAACGTTATGATAACGTTTAAAAAACATACAAAATAACGTTGTAATAACGTTTTAGAAAATGTTTTTATAACATTTTGAAAACGTTTTGATAACGTTTTAATAACGTTGTTGTGCTACCTGGGTAACCAAGTGCATAGTTATGATGAATAAGACTGCCTCTTCCAAATTTGTTAATTTCATGGCCTCAGGGTCGGGGTGCTAGGGCGGGGCTATATATAAAGATTATATAGGGTCTGGGAAAATGAATTGTTTCTTTGAAAACCTTCTTTTCTGTGCTTGGGTATTAAACCAATGAACTATGTACATAGTTATTGGAGGAAGGATGTCACTTTGCGATTTGTGAACTTCATGGCCCCTGGGTCGGGGCTTCTTGTGTTAGGGCGGGGCTCTGTTTATATAATGAAAATGCATGATTTCTTTGAAAATCTTTTCCTTCGCTCCTAGATATTATGCCATTTATCTAAGTACATATTTATGATGAAGAAAGCTGCCTCTTCCAAAATTGTTAATTTTTGGGCCTTTGGGTCAGAGGTTTTTGGAGGGGGTGGGGTACATAGTCTGAATATAAATTAATGCTTTGATATTAATCAACAATTTATGATGAAATAAAATTCTTGATAATATTTCCAAAATTTTGAAATATGTTGACCCAGGGTCAGTGGTTCCTGCGCGGAGGGGTGCACAAGTGGTTACAAAGGTAATCAAAGTAAGCATGCTAAGTGTATAATTATGATAAGCAACGGTGCCTCTTTCAAAATTGTGAATTTCATGTCCTCAGGTTTAAAATACGAATGAAGTTCAATTACGGGATACTCAGGTGACCTATAAGGCCCATGGGCCTCTTGTTTATTAATTTACTTACTTTGATCTGCCATTTAACAGGCCTTGAACACCGAGTCTATTTTAATAGGCAAAAAGCGTATATAAATGTATGTAAATATAACTCCATGTTTAATTTTTTTTTCAAATTCACCTAATTACATTTTTAGCGCGTATTATCACTTCGCTAACCACTCCATACCGAGATATAATGTCAAATTTTGAAGACGCTAATTTCTGTACACATACCATATATTAGGCTGATTATTTTCGTCACATTTCATCCACCTATAAAACACCTTTTGTATTCTAGAAATGTTGCCCGCGTGGCACAGTGATTAGAACGCAAATCGCGAAGGAATCCACCCATACGTCACTGGTTAAAATTTCACTGTAGGACGTGGCGTCCCATCCTTCGTATGAGACCGTATTAACAGAGTCCCTGTGTCGGAGTAGGTGCCGGCTCGATAAAGATCTCTCACTGACCAATGGCCCTAAGTGCCGAGTATAGGACGAAATTTGAAGCTCTACATCGACATATAGTAGCGTCTCCATATGAGTGAAAAACTCGGGAGAGAGGGGCGCTAAACAACATATAATCAATCAATCTTACTTTTACAGACCTGCCTACCCTTTTCGTTGCAAGGGTGTAATTTCAGAAAAATTTTGGTGGAAAATCAGAGGTAAAAGCGTAATCAATCATGTTTTCCTATTTTATTGTGTCACTATAGTACTTCATTTTTTTTCCAAAACCACCGAAATTTTACTTACATGTAAATAAACAAACCTGGCATAAACTTTCCTGTTTCAAATAATTTATTGGGAAAAATTGTTGTAAAATACCGGTAACCTATATTAAATATAAATCGTACACCCTTAATGAAGCATTTGGTCAATTTGTATCAAATCACTTTATTGAAGGCTTGCGTTTGCATGTTTATACAAATTGTGCATGTTTATAGAAATTGTACATAATTACACTTTTTTCTTTTAAACACGGACATTTCTTTATCTTGTTCAAAGCAATGTTAAAATGAACTAAATCGAGCATAGAAATGGGCGTACTTATTGCAATATCATTTAATAGTTACAATGTAACGTAAGCAGTGCTTTCTCGTGTTTTTCGTCGCCCGCGTGGCGGAGTGGTTAGAGCGTCTGCTCTAAAGACGCGAAGTAAGGATTCAATCCTTATGTCGCGGGTTTGAATCCTAAAGTGGGACGTGGAGACCGGTTCTTCGGATGAGACCGAATAAATCGAGGTCCCGTGTCGCAGTAGGTGCTGGCGTAAAAAAGATCCCTCACTGCTTAATGGCCTAGTGCCGAGTATAGACAAAATTTGTAGCTCTCGAACGGCAAGTGGTGAAAAAATCATCTCGTGTTCTTCCGAATCTTCGCCATACCGGTTTACATATAACTACTAGGTACATGTATATTACATTAGTTATCGAAGTGGTCCTCTATTAATTACTTATAAACTAGAACTTCTCATTTCATTTCAGCAGGTCGAACTTTTGACTCTAAATTTAGACGATCATAATGGATTTAAACCAAAATATCAAAAGCGTAAAATTAATATCAGTGGCGTAATAGCGTAATTTTGTGGTAAAAAGCGGAAGAATTACGCCAAAAGCGGAAGGGTAGGCAGGTCTGCTTTTAATACCCCCCCGCTTGAAAAGCGGGAGGGTATAAAGTAATCGGTATGTCCGTCCGTCCGTCCGTCCGTCTGTCTGTACGTTCGTCTGTTAAGCTTTTTTATGTAAATGTTGAGATGAATAAATTTGATAGAATTTTTTTTTATCAGACTGTGGGATCCCTGTCAAAAGAATAAGGAATACCAAGTGGGATGTACGGGACTGGGAAGGAATAGGGATAAGAAAAAGTATGCACATTAAATGCTTGGATTCCTTTGAACAGCGAGGATCCGGAATGATCGTGTGCCATAAAAATGGGACCTGGATAACGGACTTGGTTTGTCAAGGTTGAAAAAAAATGTTTTTTAAGTCTTTGTGTTTTTTAATTATTTACTTTCAAAATCCGTATCTAATACAAAATGTATCTGCTTACCTCGAGAACAAGAGTCCCATGGGCCATATCAGTCATCCGAGAACATTGGCTAAAAAAAAGAAGCTAAAATCAATTCTAGTAGTTAAACACCGGTGTCTGGGTTGAATTTTAATTTGAATTCTGAACTTCCTGAAGATACCTTTACATCAATATAACCACAGCATTTCCTGATCTTGGACATTAAACATTTTTATTTCTACATATTCCTTTTCAAAAAATCGCCATTGTGGCCCCCTCCTCAGGGAGAGTCATAACTTGAACAAACTTAAAGGTGCATAGACACAGATTTTGAAGTTAATATTTTCTGTACAATATTACGACTTATATATTTTAATTGCATTTCACACAAAATTTTGGATTGGTTTGATTGTCATTTCCTTGCACTTTCACAAAAGTTTATTTTATACTTAATACTAAGGAAAAGTAGCAATCTTGTGTATTAATAAAA